GTATCAATATCATTCCCTTTTTCAATAATTCTGTATGAAACATGCTCAAGACTCTTCTCATCAACCTTTATGTGAATCAGAATTTGGCTTGATATACTATTCGGCATTATATTAGTTAATGCCTAATTAATTGTTTCATAATATTAGTTTTCAAACTGTTCATTACTAAGGAAAGTTAAGTCATTTGATGAAAGAAATCTTAAAGTAAGTGGGTTTTTTTAAAACTTGTTTAAGTGAGCTGTGCATGGTAGCTTACCTCTGTAATTCCGGCTACTTGGGAAGCAGAGATAGGCCATTTTAGGCTTGATGCCAGCCTGAGCAAAAAGTTAGTAAGACATTATCTCAAAAAATAATGTGGGTATGATGGTATATGGCTGTAATCTCAACTACTTTGGAGGTGGAGGTAGGAGGATCATGGGTTGGGCAAAGGCATCTACCTAGAAAGCAAAAAAAGCTTAAAGGATTGAGGGACCTGGTTCTAGAAGTAGAGTGCTTGCCTAACTGGTATATGGCCTTGAGTTCAAATGCTAGTACTGAAGTAAAAAATGGCGGGGGGTAGTATTTGTTCATCACTTCTAACTTAGGAAATGACTGAAGGCAAATGCAAAGGTACCTCTAAATCCAAGCATTGAAATGAGATGAGTAGAATTCTATTTCCTTATCTTGGCAGAAGTATAATTTATATTTCTCTTTGTGTGTTGGTTTCATTGTCTTCCACCATAAACCATAAACAGATTTTTTTCTGAGTGGCAAGGAAGATGGACTCTGACACCTTTGAGTCAGGAACCATCTCTGGGCCGGAGAAAGGTGTTCCATGATTGGCGAGACCTGGGTCCCATGTTTACTGCAGCCACAGGGAAAATAGGTACTGTGATTGACAACCATCCCAGAACCTCATTAGATAGGAGATAGAAGAGAAGGAAACCCAGAAGACACCAATGATAGCTCACTTCTATATATGTGCAAAAATATCTGAATACTGAAGAAGTACTAAATATTACAGGATTAGTTAAAAACGAGAGCTTAAAAGACCTGTAGGGATTTCCATCCAAGAAAATGGAAGACAAATAATTCTCTTATATGTCAATATAAAAATATTAAAAATGTTAACATGTATATTAAGAAAATAGGTGTAGGGAAACTACAAGTCCAGACAGAATTTTGAAAAGATATAAATTAAAATAATAAATGAAAGAAAGTTAGGAAAAAAAATAAGAAAAATGAATAAAATTTCTCCTACTAAGAAAAAAATGGGCAGGAGAAATTGAAGAAAAGGAAAACTAGTAGGAATTTTAATGCCAAAATGTAAAAGCAAGCCAGAAGTAGACATGTAGCTCAAGTGGTAGAGTGCTAGAGTACAAAAGCTCAAGAATAGAACTCAGGCCCTGAACTCAAGCCTTAGGACCAACACTTCAAAAGTTGTAAAAGCAATAAGAAATATTGAAAGTGATAAGCTACGTTATAGCAGTAAGGCATATATATATATATATATATATATATATTTCTTATGTTATGTATCTATCTTTTCTAAATTTATTTTTTAAAAGGGTTTATTTTATATCAAAGCTAGAGGTGATCTCATGCATTTTTCTTGTTTTCTTGTAACCCAGCCTGAAACTCATTATCCTTCTGCTTCAACCTCCTGATTGCTTAGGATTACAGAATTGTATTTAAATGGGGCGGGGGGGGGAGGGGAGAAGCCTGATGAATTAATATTCTTGGATGATTAAAGAGTAGCTGCTAGAAGTTGTTCAATTCATACCAATTTGTAAGCCTAATGAATTAGTATCACTGTAGATGCTACCTGGAAATTCTTACTATGATACCCCAAGAAAAATTAATATCCTCCAAAATGTCAGCTCCTATAGCACAGCAAGCCTTTTTAAAGCAATGGCATTCTTATTTGGGTAGGAAAAAAAAAAAAAAAACCTTGAAGTAAGAGCTCACTTTTGACTTCTGGATTTAAAAAAGAAAAAAAGGCAATCTAGAATAAACTGGTTGTAAAATTTAAGAAGAGAGAGGGAAGGAGCCTTTCTTCAGAATAGTTCTACAAAAGACTCATGTTGACTGCTGGCATGATATGACATTGATGGATGTAGAGTGAAATGACTTAATTCATTCTATTTTGTGATAAGATCAGTAGTTAGAGATGCAATTGACTGCAATAATTGCTAGAAAAGAGGGGATTTAAAGGGTAGAATCATACCTGGCATCCTGTAAGTGGTGTTGAAAGACTATTTGGAGAGCATCACTTAAAGTGCAAAGCCCTGAAGAGGTTTGAATTAAAAAGTCAACATGTTTCACGTGACGGAGTTTACCAGGATCCTACTAGAACAAAGTGGGAAGAGCAGAAATGTGCAGGTTTATCAGTTAGTTTAGGTTCATTTTTAAAAATGTTAGGAGACAGAGAAATGGCTGCTCGTTTGGTAATATTCTAACACTCCTATCCTTAAGAGTGCTATGAAAGTCTGGTACTGGGTGGCTCACACCTGTAATCCTAGCTACTCAGGAGGCTAAGATCTGAGGATCATGGTTTGGAGCCAGCCCAGGCAGGAAAGTGTCTGAGAATCTAATCTCCAATAGACTATTAAGAAAAAGCCAGAAGTGGCACTGTGGGTCAAGTAGTAGAGTACTAGCCTTGAGCACAGAGAGGCTCAGGGACAATCCCCAGGCACTGAGTTCAGGCACTGAGTTCAAGCCCCAGGACTGGCCAAAAAAAGTACTGTTAAAAGAACATATGTGATTTCACTAACATATCAGCAAGAATATGCCTAGAAATTTATAGAAGATACAAAATCAGGTAAACTAATCTAAGAATATCCCTATGTACATCATCCTAAACAATTGTTTAAAAAAAAAAGGTGAGTCAAATGCTTGGATGTAATTTGCTGAGAGAAATTTGTTTATTGAGATTATTTAGCCATGGTAGAATTTAGAGCTAAAGACCAGGACCAGTTCCCAGTTCTATCGCTTCAGGTCTGCAGCAGGCAAGGTTTTTGAATCTGTGTCTTCCTTTGCAGCATGGAGGTTCATCCAAAGAGAAAAGTATTTTGTCTTCTGCAAGTGGAAACTTACAGGGCAATGACCTTGTTCACCAGAAGCTTAGAGTCTTGGGTGGAAGGTAATACTTTTGAAAACACAGGATGGTTGAGAAGAGGACTAGAAGAGTAAAAGATCTTATTCTGTAAGGTTTTGTGCAATCACTATTAAATATAGTTAATGCAAAAAATTAATGACATTCAATAGAGATATCAGATAACTTTCATTGTGTCAATAGGTTTTTAATAATATTCTTCTCCCACATTTCTTCCTTTGAAATGCAATATATTATGTCAATAGAAGAGGGTGAAAAAAACTGATGATAGAAAAGAAAAATGGGTGAGTGGGATCCTGGTACAAGCAAATCTGACACAGGTCAGAAAACAATGGGTCTGAGGTGATAATGGAACTAGCCTCAGAACAAATTCCACACACAAAAAAAAGTAGACAAATTGATAGGACTATGAAGCAGGATATTTAATGTATTTGGAGCACATCTGTTTATCTCAAGTGTGAGGTGAGGTTGCCATCTGAGAGTTGGTTGAGACAGAATGTTAGAGGTTTGATGAAAAAGAATACTAGGTCAAATACCAGGGCTACACAACTTGTTTCATAAGGAAGCAACACAAATACATATAGACAAACATATGCAATATAATGGAGAATGATAATAGACTGGGGGACACTAGAATTTTTGGAGGCAAAGATCTGGTGTGAATGAACTCAAAAAGGTAGACGATAATTTAGAGGTGAGAAAATGAGATTCAATTTTTCAGAGGTGGTACATTATTTATCTTCTTCATCAATTAAAACCAATCAGGGCCGAGGGCACAGCTCAGTGTTAAAAAGTTTGCCTAACATCTTTGAGGCTCTGGATTCAATCCCCAACACGACTGGGGAAAAGTGTTAACCAAAGAAAAACATTAAGATCAAGTTGGCCTTGCTTTCAGCTATGTTAATAAGAAACCGAAACCCAACAACACTTTGTAGCTGAGTGCGATGATACACACCCATAATCCCAGCACTCAGGAGCTTGAAGCAGCAGGATCTTGAGTTTTATGTTCCACCAGGGCTGGACAGCATAGCTGTCTCAAAAGAGAAAACAACAAAATAACAAACCTCATTTTCTGATGAACTACAGTGCTGGTTGCTAAGAGTAGGTTTGGTGAGTCTGAGTCTGTGTAGTCTAACTTGAATTTCGGAGTTCATCTTAAACAAGTGCCATATATTATGTTACAGGTCAAATAGCCTTTGTCAAAAATGCCGGGAACCAGAAATAGTTTGGAATTGGTATATTTGCCTATGCATAACAAGATATTTTCAGTACATGACCCAAATTTAAATACAAAGTGCAATGATGTACAACTCAGAAGGCAATTTCACACAGTACTTTCAGTGAATCTGAATCTGACTATTCTACCATGTAGGTTAAGCGGGGTATCATCCTTTGTGCATTGTGTGTGCTTGTTATCACAGAACTATGGATTTTTCAGATGCTCAGCCTACGTAGAGAAACTCTACAGCTTATAGAGAACTCTATGAAACTGCTTAACATCAAATATTATAATACATTTTAGTCTTAATAATTCACATAAATTTTATGTACTAAGAGTGGCTCACCTGTAAGTCTAGCTACTCAGGAGTCTGAGATCTGAAGGATCAAGGTTAGAAGCTAGCCAGAGCAAAAGTTCACGACTCCACCTCTAAAATAACCAACAAAAATCAGGACTGGAGGCATGGTTCAAGTGGTAGAGCACAGCTAAACAAGCAAACTGAGTGAGGACAATTTTTTTAAAAAAAAATCAAGGTTTACTCCATAATTCAGTGGAAATTTCCAAACAAATTCTATTATCATTGGCAGCTTTAAAGATTAAGACAAATTCTCTGAGAATTTACAAAAAAGAGACATTAAAAACAAATATTTTGCAGTTACCAACTTAAAAATAAAAATAAGCATAAACTGAGTTAAAAAAAAAACCTTTATTCCATTGCCTTCTTTAAAATTACAATAAAGCAAATAGTCAATGTCAGAAGAGATAGTGACTATGTGTAGTAGTAACAAATTAACGGCAATACTGAAAACTTGAATCCATTTAAAAAATAGATGTTTTAATTAGGTAATAATCAAGTTGAACTTTATCTTTGTAGATAATTAAACTTCCACTTGGCTTACACAATTCCATTCTCTCCAACTGGTAGCTGTGTAGGATTGAGTCCTACCTGCATCATTGATACGGCAATATCGAACAAATAGTCATAACACTCACACCTGTGAAAGAAAAAGCAAAAGGGACTGGAGGTGTTCACTAAAGTAGAATTTTCAACCTTAAACAAGCTCTCCTCCCTCTAGTAAGTTAACTCTGCCTTGTTTCTACTGCCTATATGTTTTTCTACTTAGTTTTGCTCCTAACAATTTTAGGACATCTAAAAGATTCACCTGCAACTGAACACACACATTATATACTTTTCAGAAAATAATAATTTTAAATATACAGCCAGCTGCCGTTGGTTCACACCTGTAATCCTAACCAATCAGAAAGCTGAGATCTGAGGATTATGGCTTGAAGCCAGCCTGGCAGAAAAGTATATAAGACTCTTATCTCCAATTAACCAGCAAAAAGCTGGAAATGGAGCTGTGGCTCAAGTAGTAGAGCACTAGCCTTGAGCAAAAGTCCAAGGCTAGGTTCAAACCCCAGAATCAATACAGTAATTAATGAATTAATAGTTGTAAATAGTAAAATAGTGAATAGGATAATTAACTAAACTACAAAATATTAATTTACGATGCAGTTTGGCAATAAAATTCACATTACTTAAGATGGGTCTTTTTCCTCTTGTATTAGAGTTTCTCTAAATAATAGCTGATCCCGTAAATACTTTTAAATGAATGAACGGTAAATATCAAGTACTAGAAATAATACAGACTATTTAAATTTAAACCAAATTTATCAATAAAACACAAAAATCAGACTTCATTTTAAATCATAAAACGTATTTTGCATCTTTTCACATTCCAAGTGTGTTTTTGTATGTATACTTACATGGTTTTGGCCTTCTCCCATGTTTCTCCCCACACGTATACTCCATGGCGCCTGACAAGTACTGCACAGGAATCTGGGTACTCATTCATTGCCTGAGCCATCCGTTCTTTAAGGTCTTTCTCCTCAGGAGTGTTCTCAATAATGGGTACCACTAACATATCATCATACCTGGAAGATAAACAAGCATTTAATTCCCCACCCAAACAAATAACGCTATTCACGTATACAATTTGTAATTTTTCAAGTCGCCAATCAGATACTCTCTTTCCCTCTAGAAAGCCATTCCAAATTATGAACAAGATATTGCATGTTTTTCTGGGTATCTTGCATAAACATCTGCAGCAAAAGATACCACGGAATTTGGCAGCATTCCTAAGTGGCAGAAATTTGTAGACTGAATCAAAATCTAACAAAGAAATCATCAAGATCACACAAGCACTTCCTTGAAGCAGAGCAATCATAACATTTTTAACAGGAGATGGGAAATGATACATGTTAGAATCAGAAGTGTAGATGGATTAAAAATGGAACTATATATTGAGGAGGAATTTCCCAACAACATATAACCATTGTATTTCATCTCTGCAACTCTCCAAAATGTCTTGAACAGAAAAACCAATAACTACCAGTGTGGCTGTGACCAGAACAAGAACTACTACAGGTATGATAATACCTTCAGGATATTCTCATATCTGGAACATTAAAACTTGTTACTTCCACTTTGCACTCAGTGTGATGAGATCAGAATGTAGTGATATTCAAGACAACATGTTAGTAATTTTACTAGTAAAATTAAGTCTATTCTTTTTATTTTTTAACTGGTTGGACAGTATTTTTAATAAGTTTTTATTGTAAAAATACTGTACAGAGGGGTTACAGTTACACGAGCAAGGTAATGAGTACAATTCTTATCAAGCATTGTTGCCTCCGCCTTTGTTTTTCCCCTACCATCCCTTCCCTCCCACCTCCACACTATTCCCCTGCTCCCCACCCCCCATCCCCGGCCTAAATTGTAAAATTCGTTTCTTCAACATAGTGTCTTGTACATCTCATTGTTGCAATGGGTCAACCTGTATCCCTATTTAAACATTTTGTTTTTTAAATATATTTCAAAATTACAGTTTCATATGTCAGGTAATGGGTACATTTTTAAGTCTATTCTCATTGGTTACATATAACCACCCAAAACTCAGCCAAATTATCCTTTTTACATGAATTTCTCTCGCATTATTAATGTCACATCTGCCTTTCAACATCTCTGTAGTGAGTAAACTTAAAGAGTTCCACCTAAAGTGTTAATGGGACTTACTACATTAAGGAAGGAAAACACTAAATGATTTCCAACTGAATAATTATTTGGCTAACCAGCATATTATTGGTTTAGAGTTGCCATACTTTCACTTAGGTGAAACAAAAGTAATTATAAAGTATTCTTAAGTATGGAAGGGATGAGCTGGTAAAAACTGGCCAGCAATACCACAATTCTACTTTTTCCTCTGGCATACAGTGAACAGATTCTATTTCCAGGTATAAAACAATTTCACAGTAAAGCAAGATCTGAGAGCTAATTCAAGGCAACTCCCTATTTCCCAGACAGGATACAGATCTCAACAGGTTAATAAACAGAGGCAGGTTAGTCCTGTGGCCCTCTGTGTTCTAGCAGTGTTTTCACTCTAGTACAGGCAGGCATGTTGCTTCCAACAGGTAGGACAATTATATGGATACATGCAGATACCTGTAACCTCACTTAGTAAAGAAATAAGAGTTTTCAGTTTGGATTTTTTCCCCTGCATGCTGAAGATGGAACACCAGGCTCCGTGAACAGTCAAGAGAACACCCTACCACTGTGCTACACTGATAGCTCCAGTCTTCTCTTTTTTAAAGATAGACTTCAAATGAAATAGAATCAAGAATATTAAAACTCCACCCTTTCTTACATCTTCCAGCTTTTGTTAACTCTTCTTTCAATTAGACTTTTGGGATTCTCCCTAGATATAGATAAAAAATTACTGCCTCCTAAACTATGATAATGTCCCTACCATTACTACTCATTACCTAATGAGACAAAAATAAAATTGTAAAGGCTATCTTAAAAACAAAACTTGGCGGGGCATAGTGGCTCACACCTGTAATCCTAATCACTCAGGAGGCTGAGATCTGAGGATCATGGGGCAGGAAAGTCCTTGAGACTCTTATCTCCAATAAACCACTCAGAAAACTGGAAGTGGCCCTGTGGCTCAAGTGACAGAGTGCTCGCCTTAAGCAGAAGAGCTTAGGGACAGTGCCCAGGCCCAGAGTTCAAGCCCCATGACTGACAAAAAAAACAAAAAACAACAACTTGGTATTCAGTGGGAGTGCTTGCTTAGTATGTGCAGGGCCCTGGGTTCTGTCCCTAACATTCCTCCCTCCCAGAGTATTTATTCTTCCAAGATTCTGGAACATTTGAAATGATATATGAAATATATATGAACATATATGCTAGGTTATAATAAATATATTAGCCACTAGTTCCAATGGCTCATACCTATAACTGTAACTACTCAGGAGGCTGAGATCAGATGATCACAGCTCAAAGACAGCCTGGAAAGGAAAGTTGGTAAGATTTTTTTATTTCCAATTAACTCATTAAAAAAGTCCTAAGTATCTAGGTGATTCAAGTGGTAGAGATCCAACCTTGAGTGTAAAAGCTAAGGGAGTGTCCTGGCCCTGAGTTCAAGCCCCAGCACTGGCACACGCACACACGCACGTACACACACACACACACACACCTGTATATATTGTGCATAAAAATGTCCATTGATGCCATTCTTTTTTGGGGGGGGCGGGGTCCAGTCATGGGGCCTGAACTCTGGGCCTGGGCACTGTCCCTCCGCTCTTCAGCTCAAGGCTAGCGCTCTACCACTTGAGCCACAACGCCACTTCTGGCTTTTTTTCTTTTTGCATATGTGGTGCTGCTGAGGAATCGAACCCAGGGCCTCATGCATGCAAGGCAAGCGCTCTACCACTGAACCACCTTCCCAGCCCCACATTGATGCCATTCTTTAATCCATAATAGGCACTCTATTACACTCTGATCCTATCTCACCTTCCCCACGTGCCTCTGACCTGTGTTTATTTCTTCTCCTTAGCAATCAAATGTACCTGAAACTCACAGCACCCACTAGACTCTTCTTTCAAGACCTAGATATGGAAATGGCAGTATGGGGCTATACTTGCTGTGGTATATATACTTTTCATAATTAAAATACATAGCTTCTGTATACAGGTGTTCTCACAGTGCTGAGGGATACTTTAGGCACATAATAAATATGATGTGAAATCAAATGAAATTAATTTCCCAGCACACCAGTTTAAGCACATATTTTCCATTACATGTAGTAACAATAAGATATTGCTGGAGGAACACTTTAGTATAACTGGCATCCTCTTCCTCTAAATAAGGCCAGGGAAAACCAAGAAAACTTTAGAAAATTATGAAGGGCAAAAGCTCAGAAGAATGCTACTGAATTCAAAGACAAGGCTTAGCTTGTATCTCAGCACTGGGACATGTTTGCTCATGACACTAAGAACTTAGATCTATGAATAATGGCTACATTTTTGTGGGTTGTGAGATTTATTTAAACTTATCTTTTTATTTTTGTACTTTTTTATTGTAAAAATGCTGTACAGAGGGGTTACAGTTGCATGAGCAAGGTAATGAGTACATTTCCTATTGAGCATTGTTGCCTCCACCTTTGTTTTCCCCCCTACCATCATCTCCCTCCCACCTGCACAACTACCCCCCAAATCCCCATCCTCGAAGTTTTTGTTGCTTTGTATGTTCCTCCCCCACAGTATAACCCCTATTTTCACTGGATTTAAACTTATCTAGAAGGTCAATGTTCTATATTTAGCATCCATGCTCCCTTCCACACTAAAAAAAAAAAATGAAGTTCTACTTAATGAATAGAAAACTTTCATAATTATGAAAATATTCTAGAAATACTAAATTAAACAAAAAAGAAGTCTCAACAGCAATCTTGGATCAGGCTTCCTGAAGGCGATGTGAAGAACAGATCTTGCTCTCTGATCGCCTCAATAAAGGGACATAATTTTTTCATCTCTACAGAAATCCCAGCCAAGATTTTTTTTTTTGACTGTCCTTTAACAAACATTTCATGATGCTATTAATGCTATTAATTTCCTAAGCCAGGGAAGGGTGGAGGAAGATTTGTGTTGCTGACAAAGAGATCTAGACTAAGTATAATATTAAATGGAGTATTATTTAACCTAGATTCTACAGCATCTCATTATATGCATAAACAAGATCAGTTATCCTATTTATCAAAGAAAAAAATTTTTTAAAGGGAAATACCTATAATACCCTCCTGAGGTACATTTCTGTATTCCTTTAATCATCTCCTGATGTGTAATTTTAAATTCCTGTCCTGGGAAGAGAAGGGTGGCCATGACAGCAGCTTTGGAGTGAGTATGAATCACTGCACCTGCTCCTGAAGGAGGAAGAATACAGTCACATGATCAGTGAAGGCAAGTTATGCCTTTGAAAGACAAAATATACATCTACAAACTGACTGGTGGGGGTGGGCTTGAACAGCCAAGTAGAATGAAAGTGCCTGTTCTTAGTAGGTATTCAAACAATGTTAACTAAAATAATAATAATTATTATTATGATTTAGGAAGCCTTCTTTATTCTTTTTATGTCAATTACATTTTCAGCATACCTCTCATTGTGTAAGCATTCATAAAAAGAGGGGTACACTGGCTTTTTTTTAGCTTCTTAGATGCTGGAGGTCCACTTAGGTCCTGTTCATTTATATCACACACGAACATGTCTTCTGGCTATTTGAAGGAGAGAAAGAACGCAAAGCTCATTATAATATCAATTAGAAATGTCCATCTTGCCTGTATGTATGCAATTCAGTATATGTAATATGTAGTATAATATTCTAGCATTAACATACAATGATACTTTTCGGAATTTTGAAATAAAGCTAACTTTCAATTGGGATAGCTTTGTTCCAATAAAATATGAATTAAATTGAGCCAACTGAGACCATCAACCTGCATAGCCCAACCTGATTAAGACAGTGTGATTAGGCTGCAAAAATTATAATCATTTTGTTATAATTTAAGATTGCACTACCCACTTTCGCCCTCTACAGGCTGAATGAGATGTCAAAACATACATTGGTTGCATATAAGGTACTTACAGAGTAAAGAAAAGAACTCAGTAATTACTCCACAATTTTTTTTTTTTTTTTTTTTTGGTCATAGGACCTGAACTCTGGGCCTGGGTGCTGTACCTCAGCTCTTCAGCTCAGGCTAGCTCTCTACCACTTGAGCCACAGCACCATTTCTGGCCTTTTTCTGCTTATGTGGTGCTGATGAATTGAACCCAGGGCCTCATGCATGGAAGACAAGCACTCTACCACTGAGCCACCTTCCCAGCCCTCCACAAATATTTAATAATTACTTGACAACTGTTTGCTGATTACTCAAATGATCACAATATAACCACCCTTCAGGACTAACAGAGTCTTAGAAGTAATTCCAGTTCACAAAACAATAGTCAAACAGAGAAGGATCCCTTTACTATACCTGAATCCGTTCTTTTTGCACTCCTGAGGGAGCAATGTAGATTTCATTGCTGGTAACACAAAAATATAAACATTGGTATTTATTTAATGAATTTTCTGCTTTTGCAGAAAATAGTATCCTTGCAGTCTAATCATCAACACTCTTTATAAATCAAGTCATACAAACAGCTAGCTGGTTAATTAAGGGCTTAGGCTACACAGAATACCAAATTATCTTAATAGTTTTGTGATGCTGGCAGCACAGCAAAACTTTGTTGCTTTTTTCTTTCACACTTTCATATATACTTCTTTTCATGATACAAAATCATTGGTAACCAGGGTTTTATCTATTGTGTGGAAATAAAAATGTATTTAATATATAAGGTTTTCTTCAGCATCTCAAGACCTGAATAAGCAGATGTTATCCAATCACACGTGAAATATTGTTGTTCTAAAGTCCAACTGGGGAACACATGTTCAGGCAAAGCATCACATTTACTTTTATGGCTTGAAAGCCTGTGATCATAAACTATGACGTTCAGAGACCTCTGCTGGACAAGTTTATTAAATTACAACATTAACACTGAAACTTTAAAACTGTTTCCTATTTGCAAAGTACATGTATGTTGGAAAATGTTTGGCAATAAAGCTAAAACAGTTGCAAAATATAAGTCGTGCATGGTGTCTCATGTCTACAATCCCAGTGTTTGGAATGCTGGGGCAAAAAAAAAAAAATCATGAGTTCAAGTCCAGACCATCTTAAAAAAAAGTTGCATGTGGAAATCTTTGTTGCAGGATGTAGTATCGAAGGGAGCTGCTAAACTCTACACCGGTATTCTCAAACTTGATCTGCAGATCTGCAAATTAATTTCAAACCTCTTGGAAATTCTCTCTACCCTCAAAAAGGGTCCTTTGGCTCTCTGACCAGTTTCTGCTGCTGCCCAGCATACAAATAAGCTGCCACATAAATGCAAACCAAGGAAATGCCAGCACCTGGTGCCCTAACTTCTGCCACTGAGATGCAGATATAGGGATACTGAACAAATATCAAAGCTTCTTAGTAAAAATGAGGATGGTTTGCATTTAGTAGTCAAAGTTGGCCTATTAATAAACCTTTAGACTTGGAACTAACAAAGGTTAGTGAAATGGAAGTCTCTTAGTAAATTATAGTGTAGAAAATCAATGACCAATAATATGATTGAAATCCAATGCACAGAAAGTACACACTTGATTATCTCTCCTAGGTATGCTCTCTGCTACACAGGATAACAGAGGAACATTCCTCGGGAACCTATAGAAATGGGAAAGAATCATCCAGTAAAACTCACCCTTCAAACACCAGGGATCTATCAGGGAAGACAGTCTAGACATGTTGTAGTGCTATCACGTCAGGAGAAATTATATAGTTCTGGGAACAGCTAACTAAAATGCTGATAAATAAAACCTAGCTACAAAATAGGAAAACCAAGGCAACTTGTTCTGTTTGTTCAAGTGATTTGTCATGCTAAGTCTGCTATATTTTTTAAATTAATGCCTTTGCAAAATAGGCTCAAAGTTGGACTTCAATTAACTTTGGGTGAGAAAGATTAGCTAAATAAGTGTTAGACAAAAGCTCATTAATAATAAAGAAAGAGTTGTATAAAACACAAATACAACAGAGCTTTTATTTCTGGAGGGAAACACACCAAAGACTAAAGTGAAATATATTTGATATTGTATGCCAGAGATAAAAAGCACTTTGAGGAGCTGGGAAGGTGGCTCAGTGGTAGAGTGCTTGCCTTGCATGCATGAGGCCCTGGGTTCTATTCCTCAGCACCACATAAGCAGAAAAATCTGGAAGTGGCACTGTGGCTCAAGTTAGAGTGCTAGCCTTGAGCTGAAGAGCTGAGGGACAGCACCCAGGCCCAGAGTTCAGGCCCCATAACTGACAATACAAAACAAAACAAAACAAAAACTTTGAATTTCAAGGTATTATGGGCTGGAAGTAACTTCTCTCTACTTCCTGTTCTTTCACTGTATGGTAGGAGAACAAAACTCAAGTTCATACTATGTCTATATTTACTTGGTTCAATTTTTAGTTGTTCTCTGGTCTTTAAAAAAAGTCATTTAGGTATTATTAAGTTTAAGTGGTATGGAATTATTAACTGTAATCTTAATCAAATACAACAGGATCAGTATCTTTGACACCCATCTACATTACATGTGAAAAATAGGTTATTCTAAATCATCGGCTGAGTAGCCTGGAATTACTGTGATTACTATTGTTTTCTGGGTATCTCATTTCCTCTTGGTTTAACTCATTTGTAGATCTTAAGCTGTCTTTTATATACATCTAGGTACCAAACACTAAGAGTGTAACCTAGAATGGTGTAAGCCAGACTTGAGATCAATCAGCTGACTGTATTCCCAAAGTGCTGTTTTTCTTATTTGGGAAGCCTAAGTTTTTGGGCTGACACCTCATTCCAAGTTCATCTGTCCAAAGAGACAAAGCCAAACTATCACTAGCAACATGATATTGCTGGAAAAAAAAACAGTTTTGTGGGTTCACAATATTTTATTTCAAAACATCCACTTTATTCAGTGAAGCCTGCATTTTGAGAGCCTACACACATGGCCATAAAACTATGGCTTTCCATGTACTGCCTCCAGGAGGAGCTCCTGACACATTGAGACTATGTAAACAAAGAGTTCTAACTGACTGCAATGCTATGAAAGCCATAGCATTTTAAAAGATGTGCCAGTAAGTTGTTTATGATGCCACACACAATCAGAGTGGCCTGCTAGAAGGAACTGTCCTTTATAAGCTTTGTTTAAAAAAATTGTTTTTTGACTTCTACACCCTCCCCAACTTCCATTGCCCTCTGGTGTAGTTTGTATTTTGGTGCTGGTACCAGGGCTTAGAGAAAGTGCCTCAGGATTTGTCTGCCTGGAATGGCTTTAAACTATGAGCCTCAGATCTCAGTCTCCAGAGTAGCTAGGATTATAGCCTGAGTCCCTGCTCTCTCTTTTTTTTTCTTCTGGTCCCCTAAAGAGTCAATTAGAGCCAGGCACCAGTGGCTCATGCCTGTAATCCTATCTACTCAGGAAGCTGAGATCTGAGAATTACGGATCAAAGCCAGCATAGCCAAGGAAAATCCAGGAGACTCTTATCTCCAACTAACCACCAGAAAACAAGAAGTGACACTGTGGCTCAAGTGGTAGAGCACTTGCCTTGAGCTAAAGAGCTTAGGGACAGTGCCCAGGTCCAGAGTTCAAGGCCCAGAGTTCAAACCCCACAACCAAGTTCAAACCCCACAACCAACAACAACAACAACGTAAGGTAGAAATGATTCTTTTAAGCTTATTTTGATGAGGAGCTCTACTTCATTTGTAGAAAAACTATTTCCTGCACATAAAATCTTTTAAAAGGAAAAGAGTAGTTAACTAAAGGCAACATTTAGAACATAATTAATTATGCAATAACACAGCAGGGACATCAATTCAACTTGTAAATGAGTAAGTATAACAAAAGTAAACTGCTTTTAGGATAGGGTTTATTTTGAATAGACCAACATGAAAGCTTGCACAAGGCTGAATCGACACAGGAGTACCTGGCACAAATGGATATACAGATCTACTAAGTACAACAGCTTATTGGGTCTCTGAGTGCATCTTTCAACCCACAACTGTGCCCATTGCTGGATAAGAGCTTTCTTGCTATTTCCCATTGTTCAAGTAATATTTCATGAGCCATTTGGTCGTTTGAAGCAGATGAAGTTACCATGGCCTCATCTCATGGTATACAGTCCATTTTTTTTAATGCAATGCAACCTCTTTGGAGGGGGAGCATTAGTATATGTATACTTATTAGCATGTAAATATATTAAAAATCCAATTTTGCTAATGAAAGTGATTTAGGCTAAAGAAATAAAGCAATGTCTCTCATTTTATTTTAGAAATTCTTGAGAGGATGAGACGGTTATCTTTATTTTAATTGTTGGCAAGGTATCTATTCCTCATCTTTTTGAAAGAAAGACGTTGACTAAATCTAATCAACAATTTAAAAAGTATTCATTCTTTCTGCTTCAAGTTAAGTTTTGTGCCATATTTTGTCCTTTAAAGAATAATGATCTAGAGGTGATATGTTCATTAATAAGAAAAACTTGTCAGGTGCTGTTGGCTCATGCCTGTAATCCTAGCTGCTCAGGAAGCTCAGCAGCAGTACAAAGGCAGCCCAGGCAGAAAAGTCTGTAAGACTCTTCTCTCCACTAAAACTACCAAAAAACTAGAAGTGGCTCAAACGGTAGAGCAGTAGCCTTCAGCAAAAGTAGACCATGAGGGCAGATACTGGTGGCTTATGCCTGTAATCCTAGCTACTCAGGAGGCTCAGATTTGAGGATCACAGTTAGAAGCCAGCATGGGCAGGTAAGTCCATGAGACTCTTATCTTTAATAAACTACCAAAAATGCTGGAAGTGGAGCTATGGCTTAAAAAGGTAAAGTACTAGCCTTGAGCAAAACATAGCTCAGGGACAGTGCCCAGGCCCTGAGTTCAAGCCCCAGGACTGGCACAAACAAAGAAAAAAGAAAGAAAGAAAAGAAAAGAAAAAGAAAAAAAGAAATACTTGCTTAGAATAGGTTTAGAATTGCTTTCTTAAAGCAACTTTGGGGCTTCCTTTTAACTTAATAAAGTAACTTTTAGAATTTTTAATAGTTAATAATCTCAATATTTTAAGGTGATTTTAAAATATGTAACTGGCACACTGATACAATCTTGTCCACCTATATCTTTTATAATTCCAGACATATGAACATACTTAGAAAAATGAAATTTAACTTTGGTATTCCAAAAGTAAAGGACCAAATTACAGATTAGAAATTGTAGTTCTTAAATCCTTAGGAATTTACTATTGTAAATAACGTCAACACATTGTTTTCATTCAATTCTGTAAATATCCTTTTGAGCAATTTATTTACTTCTATTTTCTTCTGGGTGATATGTTTGAACTCAGGGCTTCATACTTACTAGGTAGACACTCTACCACTTGAGCTATGCTCCTATTCTTTGTTGCTTATTTTTTTGGACAGGATCTCACATTTTTACATGTGGTATTTGCAGATGTCTACCTAAGCCTTCCCTGTAGATTAGGATTATAGGTGCTTGTTTGTTAGTTGGGAGTCTCACTAACTTTTTACACAATCTCTGCTTACTGAGTAGTTGGGATTACAGGTGTGAGCCATCACACTCAAACCAATTTGACATTTAGAAATGAAATGTTTTCAGTCTCACACACAACGAATTAGCAGCTACTTTTTGGCATACTGTACCACAAGATAGGCTCTCTGTTGTCTGCTCATGAAGGGGAATTGTTGGTGATAAAATCAGAAACTTACCCACGCTTCAAGCTAATTCCTCCTCCCGTTCCTGTGACCCAGCCCAAGTGGTAAAACTGTTTGCAAAGTTCTGGGATCAGGTATCTCGGATGTTCCTTGTCCTGAAAAAAGAAGATAATGATTTTTTTTTTTTTTGGTCGGTCATGTGGCTTGAACTCTGGGCTTGGGCGCTGTCCTTGCGCTCTTCAGCTCAAGGCGAGTGTTCTACTGCTTTTGAGCCACAGCGCCACTTCCGGGGCTGGCTTTGAACCGTGATCCTCAAATCTCAGCCTCCTGAATAGCTAGGATTACAGGCCTGAGCCACCAGCGCCCAGCAAGATAATGATTTTTTAACACAGACATTATTTCATCAAGTAATTATTCCCAGCTGGCACGTCTAAAGCTAAGAAAAGGTACAGTTAGGGGAAAAACAATTACAAGCAGTTTGTTTTAATGATTAAAAAAAGGATTTACTAGCTAGGTGTGCTGGTGCACCAACTATATGGGATTTGCCAGGGCAAACATTAGTTATATCGCAAAAACAAAAGGGCTGGGAGGCACTGATTTAAACTTATCCCCTACCAAACAAACAAAAACAATGTATTTACTACATCAATGGCAGCCTGAGATTATGTGGTACAGGACAGTGGAGTCCAGCACTATGGAATAGGCTTCAAGAAAAGGCAGATATGAATATGCTTGGTATACATTACAAAGTATCTACTGAAATGGATGAAAGAAAACAGAATCTCGTCCTGCAAGAAACACAAGTTAGCATGTCCAGAAAGTTACTATTATGCAAAACACCTTATAAAAAAGGCAGGGGATAACTCCAGATCCTCCTGCCTGTTAAATGCTAGGATTACAGGTGTGGATGCATGTGTGTGTGTATGTGTGTGTGTGTGTGTGTGTGTGTGTGTGCACGTGTGTGCACCTGTGCACACCCTGGACCCAGATTCAAATTTTCAAAAAAGCTAAAAAACTTGTTTTACCTGGGGACTTGTGGTTTATGTCCGCATCTTAGGTACTCAGGAGGCTGAGATTTGGAAGATGGAAGTTTAAAGCCATCTTGGGCAGAAAATATATGAAACCCCATTTCCAAAATAACTAATAAAAGTGTGCTTAAGTGGTAGAATGCCAAAAGAACAAGTATGAGTTTGAATTTACACTCTGATACCAGAAAAAAAATGAGATAATTTATTGTTTTCTCTTATAACATTATGAAATAATGGAAAATAAAATCAAGCAAATAACAAAATAACAAAAGCACATAGGAACAATCACAATACTTGGTGAATCCATTTATATAATGATATGTGTTTTGGGAGCATACGCATAAAGACAAGACAAGCATCAAATTTTATATATATATATATATATATGTCTTTAGAAAAAAATACAGCCAACTTCTCATAAAGACTATATTAAAATATAGTTTAAGTAAATAAAAATAAAACCAATCAAGAAGAAATACAATGAATTTTTGGTAGCATGATATGCAACCTGTGTTGTTAAAAATAAGTAAATATGGTGAACTGAGAAGGTGGCTCAGTGGTAGAGTGCTTGCCTTGCATGCATGAGGCCCTGGGTTCGATTCCTCAGCACCATATAAGCAGAAAAAGCTGGAAGTGGTGCTGTGGCTCTAGTGGTGGAGCTCTAGCCTTGAGCTGAAGAGCTGAGGGACAGCGCCCAGGCCCAGAGTTTAGGCCCTACAACTGGACAAAAAAAAGTAAATATGGTAAATAAGTTATTTTTATAATTATTTTAACATAAAAGGTGGAATGGTGAGAAAGCAGGGTTTCACAGAGCCATAAAGAAATGGGTGTGACACTCCCTTGGGAGAAACGAAGCTCCAAAGCCAAGATTTTCTGGAATGTGTTTTCAGCATTCTAGGGTCCTTGAGCTTCCGTTTTAACAGCTATGAAAGCTATTAGAAACATAAGATAACATCTGTGATTTGATTAAAATGAGGACTTCTAATAGACAGTGCTCATATAAGCTACAGACCCCAATGGACTATCCCCCTGGGAACAAGTGTCGAGAAGCAGAAAAGCATAGTATGGGAGCAGGCCTTTATCAGCTTGGCTCTGGGTCAAGGGTGAGAGTCCAGGGAAGGATTATCAGTTTGGGAACTGAATTCTTGGTTACTTAACTGGATACATAAAATTGTGTTATTTCCCCAATTTACTGCTAACGTTCTATATATTTTCAATTATTATAAAAATGAATTACAAAATATAAAATTTGGAATATGGAAATCTAGGGAATTTTGTAAAGATTTGATGAACACAGCAGACTTAAAGTCAAATTTGTATGATAACAGTCATTGCTTGGGTGACTTGGGGGTCTCAGCTTACTCATGCATAAAATGAGAATGCTGAAAGGAGCAAAATGATGTACAATGGACATAATGTCTCAGCACAACACCATTTCAGAATTAAACACTGTTGAATTAAAAAGAATGTTCTCATTACTAAAATTAATAAACAGGCATCTCTGATCTTCCCTTTAAGAAATCTAGCCAAAATTATGCCTGTTCCATAAGTAATTTGTTATTTCCTTTTTTTAGAGACACAAATGATATTTTAATTATGGATTAAAATACAGCTAATGGGAAAACTGCAATTTCCCCATCCTAAGAGTGAATTTGCACAGTGAATTGCTACCATTGTAGACAATGGTCTGTTATTAAAGGTCTCCCTTTGTCTTTCCTAGTACTGAGCTATCAGAGCAATTAGCCAGCTTCAGACTACAGGAATAGCAATGTTGTGGCAGCTGCTGTTAATACAGTCATTCATTCACATCCACAAGCAAAACTACAATTAAAGGAAAATCATCAGTTAACAGACACTTAGAGAGATACATTTGATCAAAGTGAAGTCATTTAAACTGTCTAGAATAAGAAAGTAAATGTCAGAATGCATATTTTAACAGAATTGATGAGAAGGAAAGGTTTCATTGGTGTCTAATTCTTCCTTGACTATCACTGTTACCTTTCTGTTATTAATTTCAATTAGAATAATAATTTTGAAATATATGTAAAGATTAATTACAATCAACGATAGCTATAGGTTCTAGTGAGAAATGGATTTAAGAATCTTTAATAAATATTAAAAGTATGAATGCCTAAATAGTTTTTAAGTATTCTTTGGTTTTATTGTGAGAATACCATACAGAGGAATTACAATTACATGGGCAAGATAACAAGTACATTTCTTATCAAGCATTGTTGCCTCCTCTTAAATATTCTTCTATATTTTCAATCTAGTTATTTAAAGGAGTCTCAGCCTTCATTGTCACCAACATACTTTCTCACAACTAACACTGGCTCTAACTCCAGCCTCCTACTTTTTCTTTCAAGTTAAGAAAATATTACACAAACCCAAGTAAAGGTTTTCTCAGGAATCTCTTCAAACAAATACAAAGTAAAAATCTGCCAGGCTGAGGATGTGGCTTAGTGATAGAGTCAGCAGGAATCCTGAATTTGCACAGGGCAAAATTAGACAGTATCCTCAGGTAACAATAAATAGAATCTAACTGGACACAACTTGCAATGCTCTGGATAACAGTCATGTGCCCAGCAGTCAGTGCTCTATAATTCCCAGAGTACATGATGGTACATGATGTCATGTACCATCCATTGTCCTTCTTTCAGCCTTTCACAGTTTTTCCTAACAGGCCTTTGGAAAGGGGCAGGGGCTGAATTTCTCTCTGTGCTTCGTGTTTCTTTCTGCACCATCTATTTCATTCTCTTCTTTGTTTTCATTGGTAATCTTCACAATGTCGTGTTTACTCAAAAGCTTTTTCATTCCTTTCCCACTGTCACACTAAAAAGTTCTCAGTGAAGCACTGACTAGCAGTATAAGACATGAAGTCTGGTTTGGGCTTTGCCCCCTACTGACTATGTGCTGTAAGGCAAAGTCAGTGGTACTGTCTGGGATCATTTTCCTCATCTTCATAATCTGGATTTGTGATTCATAGTCTTGTGAAATTCAACATCAGTAATTGTTCTCTCTCTTTTCAATTTTAGGAAATGGCATAAAACTGCCAAGTTATGACAATTCTATTTAACTGTCCACCATCACCTTTTGCAAAAGGTTTTTAACATAAAATGAGAATAATGTCAGAATAAAAGGCTACCAAATTGAATTCTATGAAACACATTTTCACTGTCTTCGTTTTTTTTTATTCTGAATAGAGCCAGTGAAAATTCTCCCAGGGACTGACATTACTTTTTCCTTTTTGTTCTCCTTGGCTTTATTTTCTTCTAATCTATTTTACCCATATCTTCCATAAGCATTAAAGGTACTATTTTTGATTACTGAATTGTTTCTCAAACCATCTAAATCATAAACATCACCTCCTGTTGAATCCCTTTGCCTCTGGCTTAATTTTTGAAGTGTTTTCTTTCACTAGTCTTTTACATAAGTCTCTCAGTTCCAGTTAATGTAGTTGTAGTAGTCAACTTACAAGACGGATCTTAATGATACCCACTGCCTGATACTCTTATGTATGGTCCTTTCCCTTTGTACCAGTGTTGGTATGTTTGAACCAAAACTACAGCAGAAGTGACAGGATCTTCTATTTTGATCTCTTTCACCTCTGGCCCTGAGAATAATCAGCTTATGCATGTAATATCTGGCCATGCAGGCCCCGGCTTTCCTTACTTCTTTGCTAAGTCTCCACCCAGTACCTGTGTCACCTAGGCAAGTGGCACACGTGGAGATAGTCACTTCCCCCTAAGGGCCACTCTCCCTCCCCACCCCACCCCCATCAGAGGGAGGGAAGGTCCCAGGCCCTGAGGTCACATCACATCTGGTGTGGCCACATCTTCCCTCACCTGCCCCCACCCCCTTCCCTACTTAAACCTAGGCTGGACCTCAGCTCCCCACTTCAGCCATGCGCTTCTCCATCAAGCACAGCTGGGCAGCAGTTCAATAAAATGATAAACTTCTCTTCCTGCCTGAATACTGGGTGGTGTTCTCTTTATAGACTACAATATTAAACCTATTTAATTTACCTAACTATGCAGAAGGCATTTGGTGAGGAACTGAGGTTGAAGCCAATGGCCAGTGAGTAACTCAGGCCCTTGGAGCTCAGTTGAGTGGGCTTGGATGCAGATTCTCCATCTGCAATTAAACCTTGTGCTTGCAACCCTAGCCTGATGGGCATCGCTTGACAAGATCCTGAGCCTGAACTTGAGCTGAGCTATTCCTGGATTCCTCATCCTTAAAGAAGGTGGGAGGAAGTGGCGCTGTAGCTCAAGTGGTAGAGCACTTGCCTTGAGCTGAAGAGCTGAGGGACAGCGCCCAGGCCCAGAGTTCAAGCCCCACAACCGACAAAAAAAAAAAAAGAAAAGAAGGTGGGATAGAATCAATATTTGTAGTTTAACTGTAGAAGACAGTTTTTTAAGAAAATTGAAAAAAATTTTAATAAGTGGCAAGAAGGAAACCAGAGATTTGGAGGGAAATAGCAGGAATCAACGTTGTTTAAAAAGGTTGAGAACGTACGATGGAAAAGATGTGAAAAATCAAGTTGTGTGAGGAATGTGGGCACACACGAGTTTTGTGTTGAGAAAGCACGTCGTTCATCGAACGTGTGGAAGTCTTGGAATGACAGCGTTTGACAAGTTGCCTAGAGCAGAGAGATGAAGTACAGAGAGAAGTGGAAAGACTTTGGGGGTAGGGAGCAGATCATGGAGGGGTCTGAAAGCTAAGCTGACCCCAAAAACCATCTACCAGAAAGGAGTGAATAGATTTTGTAGAAGAGACAGGGAAAGAACTGACTTTGAGAGGTGAGTAGCCGGAGATCCTGAACACTAGTACGAAAATCTGGGTTGTTTCCCGATATCAAAGGAGAGTGTGGGTTTATTTTCTGGCAGAACTGTTAAGTTTTCTGGCAGGAAGGAGAGGAAGTCCCGGTGCCTGGGCTGAGTGACAGAGTGGGGGAAGGTAGTAAGAGATGCGTAAGAATAGAAAAGAAGAGCTGTAAAGTTAGTGTCGTGGTTGTGGAACACTTAGGACAGCCTAAGGGCGCATTTCCTTTTGGAATCGTTCTTCTGATCGTGCCATAACCAGTCTAAAATAGTGCAGACGAGGAACAGTTGAAAATAAGAACCAGAGGCTCAGTGCTCCACCTCTACTGGGGGTGTCCCGCGATCTCTTCCCGAGAAGCACCCACATAAATGGCCCAAACGCTTCCCACGTTCCGTTACTTGTCTCCTTTCGGAGTTTGGGTCCTCTAGCGCCCACGATCGCCCAGCAGGGAGCCCAGGGGGAGCGGGGACCGCAGGTGCAGAAGCACCCGACCGCGCGCGCCCTTCTCAAGCCTTCCACCTCCCCCAGCCCCCTGCATCCAAAGACAAGGTGCCCGCAGGTGTACCCGCCTCTACCGGTGCCTCTCCCTGCGCGCCGCATCGCCGAGAGCAGCAGTCTCCCTCAGGAGCAAGACAGCCAGACATGGTCAGGACCCGGAGGATGCGCAGACCCCCACAGCAGATCTCTAATACTCCCGGCCCGTGGCCAGGCCATCAAGGCAATCAGGCGAAATTGCGGGCAGCCTGAGGGCGGGGCTGACGGGGCAGAGGCGGGGTCTGAGAGGACCTCTCCCATTGGTTGAGCCTGCAGTATTGAGGACCGGCTGGAAGGCGTGGCCACCGAGGTTAGGGGCGGTGTCAGGAAGACTAGTTTGCGATACCTAAAGGCAAAGCGGGCGGGTCCGAAGGCGTGGCCATTTCGTGGAGGCGGGGCTTAGAAGGACCTCGAGGCTGGTGAACAGGCTGTGCTGTGGGCAGCCCCGGAGAAAGCCGGGAAGATGGCGGCCTCCTGGAGGTTCGGCTGCGACCCTCCGCTGCTGCGCTACCTCCTGGGCCTCGGCAGCCAGCGAAGCGTGGGGTGTGCGAGGGCTCCGGCTTTGTCGTCTGTCATCCGCGGGACTAGCTGGAGATGGCTTCACAGTTCGCAGTGGCGGTGGGGTGAGTGTCCCGGGTCTCCCGCGTAGCCGAGCCGTGGGCCCAGGCGGGGCGCGTTTGACTGGGGGCCTGGTCTGGTGGTGCAGTGCCAGGTGTCTCCCGGTGTCTGCGTCCCCTCTTCCCCGCGAAGGACACTGACGACGTGTCCAAAGGCCGCACCGAACTTGTCACCACCCAGGAGAGGTCCCGAGGCCGGCTTCCCCGTGACCTTGCCTTGGGATTTGGGGTGTTTCTGGGGCAGCCAGAACTCCATGTTCCCAACACCGATCTCTTCGGCCATTTCCCCGTGAGCGATGTCAAGTCCTTGTGACGAGGAAAATCGTCCCAAGGGTGCTTAAATTCAAAAGCTGCGGGTTGGCGGCTTTTATTCATCCTCTGTCCCTGTTGAGAGAGCTAGGATCTTCCAGGCCCGTGTGTTGCTTACCCCACCCCACCCCGCCCCCAATGACTAGTAGTTTGAAATTTTGATTTGCAAATCACTATGGCATCAGAGACATGATCAGGAAAAAAAATTTAAGTCAAACATGCGCTGAAGAGAGTGAGAATTAGCAGGGCGCCGGAATGGCTCACGCCTGTAATACTAACTACCTGGGAGACTGAGATCAGAGCATCGCTGTTCGAAACCAGGCCGGGCAGGAAAGTCCGTGAGACTCTCATCTACAGTTAAATCACAGAAAAGGCCGGAAGTGGTGCTGAAGCTCTTAGCAGTAGAGTGCTTGCCTTGAGCCAAAGAAGCCCAGGTTCAACGCTCTGACCCAGTTCAAGCCCTGGGGGGGGGGGGGAGGGGGATTGAGGATGGGAATCCTACTACGTTTGTTATCAGATATTGTCCTTTAATCATGATCGTGTCCCCCAAAACAGTTATTCCAGTACTTATAGTACAGTATGTAAAATGGCTGGCTGGGCGTTCTTTTTTACATGGGGAATCTGGGGTATGAAGTTCAGGTGCGATCAGAAAGTAAGACAAACCTTTTTAGTTGACCATCACCTGCTAATCATCATTCTTAGAACACCAAGGTGAAATTTAGTCCAAAATAGTTCAGCGCAGTAGAGTCTGTCTACATATTCTAAGTTGTTTAGGTCTCAGAAAAGAAAAAGAAAAAAAACGTTTCTACAGAGTTGACACAGTAAGTTGAATGTTTTGAAGTTACTAAAGATTGAGGGATGAGGGCAGTTTAATTCAGTCCCTTCAAGGGTGATGTCTCATAAAGTCACCATAGAGTAGTAGTTTTTACTTGTGTGTGTAGTATTCTCTTTCATTCCTTAGTTTGTCAAAAATTGACTTTTCCACAGCCACCAGAAATTGTCTCAGGTAGAACTCAGGAATCTACATTTTACAACTTTAGGTGAGTTTTAATGTTTTATTTTGGTGCTTGATGGACAACATTTTGAGACTGATAGCTTTAGAAAATCATGACTATTAAAAGCTCTAGTGGTGGGAATAATCTAGGAAGGATGGTTCTGAGACTCTTCTAGACCCCGTACAAAGAAAAGATGATATGTAGTCACCCACACAAAAATGATCATTCATTTTCAGGAGTTTTCCTTGAAGCCAAGGAGAAGGAAAAAAACTAAAAATTCCTACTTTTAGAAATTCATTTGGGTGATTTTTCTGCCTTTGGCTCTTCCACTACCTATAGACAAACACTATGAACAACGTTGCTGTTGTAACATCATCCAAAAGGAAAAGAGTAGTGTATCTCAATCTTACACAAATAATTGGTTTGAAATAACAAAAATGCATTATCTTATAGTTCTGTGTGTGTGTGTGTGTGTGTTTATATATGTGTGCATAGGTACCAGGGTTTGAACTCACTTTTTTTTTTTGCTGAAGCTGGTTTTCTAACATTCCAGCCATGTCTCTAGATGTCATTTTTGGCTAGTTGGTTGGAGATAGAATCTAATCAGTCTGCTTTGATTGACTCTAATTAATCAAGGAGCTAAGTGGTAGATTTACTAACCTTGAGCTCATACTCACACATGAAAAAACACACAAATGAGCCAAGAGGGCCTTGGACAACAAGTATGAAGTTAGGGGTATGGGTCTGGGAATAATAAGAAACATCCAGAGCTTACTATGTACCATATAAGATACAATCACTTCTCAAAAGCCCATCATCTGGCAACCAAGTTCCCAACACATCAACTATGAGACCATTTTATATTCAGCCCATAACAATTTTGTTGGCCACAACAAAATGAACTAGTCATTTGTGGATATAAGGAAATAGATGTAGGATATAGAACAGAGGGAACTGAGTTTTTGGAAAGTATATAAAACATGTTATATGTATTCCTTTTTCTGAAGAAGTGATAGAACTTTTTATTAGGTTCATTACCCTCTATAAACCATAGCTACTACATTTCACAAGTAAAGTATCTTGGCAGACATAATTGTCCAGCCTAATCGTTCCCTAGCAATGTTTCTTATAATGGAAGAAAGCCCGTTTGTTTACACAGTTTCAGAAATGTATGGCTTTGATCACTTGCTACAGTAAATGTACTGCCTACCCCTCCCCCCCCAAGTCATCACACACTCCATTTCCTTTAGGGATGCTGTTTCATATCTAATGGCACATTTTAATCTTAGGCAGGTTGTTACTATAGAATATGTTTCTTCTGAGTGAAATAATCCAAAAATTTTAGAAGAGGTTTTGGCTAGTAACACCGGTCTTCTTGGTATTAAACCATGAAATTAAAATGCTACATGAATTCCATTCCTGAAACAAGGCCAAAAAGAAATATCACACCACTTAGCCTAGATATATGATAGTTGGGTGATTTATACCTTATATAGTAAAATGCAAATAAAGCTAAGATAGCTATAAAAAGACATTAAAATACATTATTACTGGGCTCTGTTGGTTCATGCCTGTAATCCTAGCTACTCAATAGGTTGAGATCTGAGGACCAAGGTTCAAAGCCAGACCATAAAGGAATATCTATGAGACTCTTATCTCCAATTAACTACCAGAAAATCAGAAGTGGAGCTGTAGCTCACATGGTAGAGCATTGGCCTTGAAGAAAAAAGCTCAGAGACAAAGCCCAAACCCTAAATTCAAGCCCCAAGCCTGGCATGTGCATGCGTACACACACACACAGAGTGTTTTACTCAGAAGCCTAATAAAACAAGAAGTTATATATTTTATCTATCTCTTTCCAATAGTCCTGGTACCTTTTATATAATCCAGAATTTTAATATCTTAAATTGTATTATATAGCACTGACACCATAGCTGTCATGGAAATATTATTTCACAGTGTTATTACTACTAAAATATCTCGCTTCATGAAAGAAAAAAACGAGGCCATACACAGTGAACAAACTCCAGCATGCTGACATAATTTTGCTAGGATCCATAACCAAGTATTCATTGTATCTCCATTTTTTTCAAGCATTCAGTTAGTATTGAGATATTAATGTTAATATTGAGATACTAATATTGAGATTGCAGGTACAGATTTTCTGTGCTTAAATTAACAAGCTTTGGTATCAGACATTTACTTAAAAAGGTACTCTACCACCAAGGCATAAATTAACTCATTGACTTTTTGGAATTTTCAACCTCTAAAAGAATGCTTAACTAGCATCTTATAGATGCTAAATAAGTAGTTTACTACAACTACTCTTCAGTCTTTCCTGCTCTATTCCATTGCTGTCATAAAATGACCCTCCAGAAATGCAAATCAGATGATACCTTGTTTTACATGTTTTTGTTCCTCCCTATCACTGTGAGATTGAAGACCAGACTCTTAGAAAGATCTAGGTGCGGTCTCAGTCTCAGGTCAAATGCCTTTTCTTAAGAAAACCAGTGTGTTGGGCTGGGAAGGTGGCTCGGTGGTAGAGTGCTTGCCTTGCATGCATGAGGCCCTGGGTTCGATTCCTCGGCACCAAATAAATAGAAAAAGCCAGAAGTGGCGCTGTGGCTCTAGTGGTAGATCACTAGCCTTGAGCTGAAGAGCTGAGGGACAGTGCCTAGGCCCAGAGTTCAAGCCCCATGACTGACAAAAAGAAAAGAAAGCCAGTGTGTTTAAAATCTGAAGGCTCATTAATTTATTTCCTTTGCAGGGATTATAATTCTGACCACCTGATACCTGACCACCTGTACATTACAGGTTAACCACAAGTATAGACTTTCAAACAGTTTGACTTTGTGTGTATGTGTGTGTATTAAACCCATTTAAAAATCATATTTTCAGTGCTTATGTTGTACTCTATATTATAGAATATGGCACTATAGTACTGTAAGATACTAAGAAGTACTGTAATGTGTTCCCAGCATAACTTTACAGTGCTCACTTTGCATTATTATTATATTTAGCTAAACTAAGCAATAATGGCTATGTGTATTTCTTTGTAGAGAATGCTCTCCTTCTCTGGAATGTGTCTGCTTCTCCCTTCCTCTTATTCTGTTTGCCTTTCATAGATCTTTTGTAAATTATACCACAGTGCTATATGCCGGAGGTAGGGGGTGGTGGTGAATGTGTGTGTGTGTGTGTACATACACGCATGAATATTTAAGTTATTTCTGTACTGCTCTGTGACATTAACATTGCTGTGCACTAACAACCACTTCTAGAACATCTTCATTGTCCCACATGGAAACCCTGACCATTAAACAATGTCTCTCATCCTTCCTCCCTGCAGATCATAGAACCCAGTGTTCATTCTTTACACTATTCTATATATCTCATACAAGTGAGACCATTCAGTATTTGTTCTTCTGTGTCTGCCTTGTTTCACTGATTTCATCTTTGTTGTTTCAGATGTTCAAATTTCATTTCCTCTAAAGGTTGAGTCATACTTCAAACATATTTTGTTGATCCAGTCTTTTGTGGTACATTTGAGTTGTTTTCACCTTTTGACTGTTGTGAATAACAGTTGCACAAATGTCTGTTCAAGTTTCTGCTTTCAACTCCTTGCAGGTGTATACCTAAAAGTGTAGCCATTGTATTATCTGTTAATTTTTAATAGAACTTTTTTTAGAATTGCTGTATTCCACA